CCATATCCGGGCGGGGGTTGTTTGCCTGGTGCTCCAAGTAACAGATACTGAAGTCGAGATTAACCTTTTGAATCATCTCAAGCTCTTCGGCTGTACCATCCCCAAAATGGAATTTAGAGGTGAGGCGAATATTCCGAACACCAGTAGAGATCACGTTGACAGCAGGGCTGTCCTTTGCTTCGTCCATAGGGACGAACTCGTTCTTGGCATAGATCTCACCAAGATGAGCAGTGATCGTGTCTCGAGGGCGATCATCCATCATGGCGCGTGGGAATACCACAATGGGGGTCTTGACAACAACATCAAGTCGCATCCGCGAAGCATTCTCTTGCAATGAATTGGCCTGGTTGGCGGCAGCCTGGCGAGCAGCATTGAAAATGGCCTGCATTTTGCCGAATTTGACGAGGAAGTTGATGATCTTCCGGTAAGGCTCCTCCAAGAAGTTGATCTTGATCGAACCAGACCGCAGATAGACCTCAGAATCATAACCGGGATAGGTATCGCTTTCGGGGTCAAAGGTCTCATATTTGAAGTCGGCGAAGTTGTCTCCTTCGATTGTCAGGAGGCGTCGAATATCAGAATCCTCTGCAGCGCCCAGGTTTACATCATCAACCAGGGTCAAACTGCCGATTCGAGACTGAATGAGCATAGAAGCACCCACGAGAAAGATTCCAACATCGGCAGTATGGAGACTTAATGTTGCCAAGCGGACACCATCGTTGTTGAGGATAAGTGCAATACTCTTCAGGTTAGCCCTGATGCGAAGTTTCCCAGCCGGCTGAGGTTTTTCTTCCACTGCGGGCGTTCCTTCGATGGCTTTTTCTGCATCCGGGCTTTGGTTGGCCGGTTGTTGGGGATTGGTAAATGTAAGGAGGATGAAGTCCAAGAGCGTGAGAAGAGTCTTTCTCGTCACGACAAGATTAATGGTTGAAACTGATATGTCAAGGTTCATAGCAACACCTTCGTACGTTGATTCGAACTCAGGTGACTCGGGCTTGACCCGGACCATCTTCAGCTGGAAGAGATCCTTATCTTCATCGGCATCGAAGCCCTTCGACGAGATGATCCTCTTAAACTCAGGAAGGGGATTTTCTTCGATGTAATCATCCACGCTCAACGATTTCAGGACAACTTCAGCAACCATGTCATAGGGACGCATGTAGAAGTCCAACTCGAACCCTTCAGCGACCAATTCAACCAGCAAATGATCCTTCTGTGGATCATGGGGGTCAGAGCGAGAGAGCGAACCACGAAGACGACCAACCGTGAATTTGAACTCGAAATCTCGGCGATGAATGTTGGTGGGAGTATCCACGGTCTTCTTAGACTGCTCAATGGCCATTTCAGCTTCGTCGTCATCATCGACAACTGGAAGGTCGCGAAGAGCCGACGAATGGAAAGATGCTGATCTAGCTCGTGTGGCTGCATCTTCTTTGGCCGCAGCTGCAGTCTTGGGGTCAGAGGAAGTGCTGCCTGCATCGAATTGGGGGATCGCAATATCGATCAGTTTCATCAGACCCTTGTATTTGGTATCTGACATGGATGCATGTAGTTCTGGTAGATGTCCAGAAATACGTGTGCGGGTGAGCTGGGTCACCTTTGGCACGATACACATCTCCAAGGCGAAATCGACATTGATACGGTCGATGATATGAAAGTTTCTGGATTCCACATTGGTGTTCAGTTGTGCTTTGGTTGCATCAACGCCAGGTCCAATGAGGACTTGTGTGGAATCTAGTTTGATTAGGAATCGATCGTACAGAAGATGTTCGAGTTGTTTGTAGTCTTCCTCTTCGTATTGCCGCTTTTGTTTGGACTGGAGGTCTCGCATGGCCTGGCGGTCGACAAGTTCACTGTTGACACTAGCGTGACCTGCGTCGACAATCAAGCAAAGTGAACTTGGTTGTGTGATGCTCTCTGGGACGATGATCAGGGGTGCATGAATGTCGAATTGGGCGTCTACTTTCTTGTGCTCTTCAAGGGCAAACTCTAACCCGGCCCGGGTTTGCTGTCGCAGACCTTCCACGGTGGCTCCTGCAGTGTCTAACAGAGCACCAATAGACTCCATGTGTCTTTCAGGTGGCTCGAAGAATTTGACGATGCCAACAAGGAATCTGGGGTTGTAAATGACCTCAATACTTTTGAGCTTAACCTTGACCGCTGAATCTGCGTCGCTATCAAGTGGGTTCTTCTCAAGCTGCAGATGGAACAGACTGTCTTCGTCTTCGAGGTCATCTGCGCTTGCTTGAGAGGCAAGGTCATCGTCATCTTCGCTTGCCTCCTGTACTTTTGGTTCGGGGAGAGAATCTTTGACCTTGACAATCTGTGGGTAGAGAGTTCCGGGGGTGGTACCATCGTACATCTTCAATCCTCCAAGGTCTACGTCAAGGAGATAGGAGTCATGGCGTTGAAGAGCCTTGGCTCGGAAGTTGTCGAATACTAGCTTCATGACTTCATTGGCCGCACCATGGGGGTCTTTTTTGAGGGTGAAGCTGCCAGCTCTCAGACTCCAATTGACTTGGAGCTTAACCCATTCACGTGGTACATCAACGCTTTCGGTAATGGCTTTCTTTTCATCCCAGTCGATGGCGTTGTACAACTCCTGTCGTTGTTCATCAGTCATAGCAGCCTCCTCAGACTCCTCCTTCTTGGCACCCCAGAGCCAATCGGACCATGATTGTTGTTCTGCGGGCTTCTTGACGCCCACGTTCTCTTTTCGTAATTGGTTGCGTGCAAGTGATCGCCAGAAGCGGATATCCTCGTAGCTGAGCTTCGTCTCAAGTCTCTCCATTTCCTTGGTATCGTCTGGTGTGAAGGGTTCTTCCTTCTTTTTCTTCTTGAACAAAGCGATGTACGCGATACGATCATCCCTGCGTTCCTTGATGTAGCCCCAGGTCCAGCGTCTGTTGCGCTCGTGGATCTTGCTGAGCACAGCCTCTCCAGCAAATCTCATCCATGCACGGGGGTTTTCTTTTGGTGAGACCTTGGGTTGGATCTTCTTGTACTCTTGATGGCGAATAAAGTAATGGAAGAGGTCGACCAACATCAGCGCATCGCGGTATTGATTATCGTCCAGGACAAAACCAAGTTCATCGAAAAGCAATCGCGCTTTGATGGCAGGACGATCATGCTTGCCAGATTTGTCCATTTCAAGACCAGCACGACCACTTACGGGACGAAGCATGAACTGATTTCCCTCGTCCGCATCTATCGCACTTCTGAGCTTCTCCATCAACTCTTCGCGGCTGATGCCTTGAGCTTCTGCACCGATATCAGAGCCTCGTCCGGTTCCGAGGAGCGTGGCATCTGTATTCCAATATACGGACAGCGCTCCAAGAACAGCCAGCTTATGGGTGACATTGGAGTCTGATTGAATAAAGGTCGGGTTCCAATCCCCGTCGGTACTGACAGCACTGAGCTCTTTCAGGGTCACACCAACAGCGAACGGGTGTCCAGGTGAAGCGATCGAGTCCTCGTAGCGGAAATGCACATTCTTAATGGAGATCTGCAGGTTGTCCACCACGGCTGTGATCATGCTCTGTGTGAAGCTCTGGTTCCGGCGCTGCTCCTCCTGGCTCATGCCTTCTGCATTGCGCTCGCGCAAAAGTTCAGCACTCTCGATCCGCTCCATCTTGAGAACATTCGCTCTCCGCTCCTCTTCCTCCGGATCGTAGTCCGCATCTTCTCTTGGTGCTGCGAGCAAATAGACATCTTCGATATCGACCTTCACCGGCTTTCCTCGTAGATTAGACCAGGGGATCGATAATGTGAGCTCGCCGAGGTGACCTTCGACGACGTTTAGAGGGAGGCGGAGCTGGTCGAGCGCTTCGCGGCGCAGCTCGAGATTCCGTAGTTTGACGTCGCCCGACCAGATTCCGATGTTGAGCTGCTTCGCATCGAAGTTCTTAACGTATATCCCAAGGAATCGGTTAAGTAGATTAGCGACCACTCCTTCCAACATTGTTGTGACGTGCGGCCGTAGACCGGGCCCGGTGGAATGGCACTATGGCCGGCGCGGATGTCGCTTCAATGGCGTGGGTCGGGAATTTGATGATAGTCTGAGATCCAGGGCAGCTGGAGAGTCAGCAATGAATTCAAGTTGGCGGAGAGTTGTCTCTTCGGTGAGGTCCTTACGTCGTCACTTTTGAGAACCCTGGCACACGGGGGAACAATCAAGCCATCCAGAGCGGGCTGGGCACGCGATACCGAGGAACAAACCCCTCCAAGAGCGGTGATCGGTATTGGATGGTCGAAGGCCAGGTATATCAATCGAATGTGATAAAAGGACCGTTATAATAAAAGAGTGAGGTTGGGTATCCAAACGGTAGAGCAAAGAGGAAGGCTATCCGTTACGCAAAGGTATGGAGGTACTCGGTACAGACGGGGTACAACTAGTTACGCCAACCACGGCTATGAGTTCCGCCCTGCCAAAGTACTTTGATGGTACACAATACTCAGGCTTCCTAGCTCTTACCAGTAGGGGGCCAAGACTACAGTAATTATTATAGCGTTAAAGCTGCCTAGAACATACGCTTCGCAGCAAAAGAACCCCTGCTCGTACCTCTCTCTGTACTGTAATGGATACACTTGTTTACCCCAAAGGTGACGTAGTTCCCTGCCAACTTCTGCTGAGTCAGCTAGGGCGCAGCCCCCCGTGCTGGGACATCACGTGCCAGTGCACGGAGCTCTTAGGAACTTCCGCCTCAGGCCATTATCTTTGCAGTTCGGGTCGCTACGGTCCGCCCGAAAGCAGACCACACCTCATCACTCGGTCACTTCATTTCTGGATATTCTTATTTGCTCCCTCCCGGAAAACCTACGCCCTCGACTTTGAGACCAAGTCATTTTCCGGGTGTATACCCTCATCTCCACTCTCAAAACCTCTTGCCAGCTTTTTACAAGTCCAATTGGGTGAGTTGACTCTGCAATCCGGCCGGACCCGAGGCTTTTCTTGCTCCGATCTTGCTAACCCGACGACCACGAAAAGCTGTATCCCCGCCATGCTGTACCGCAACTTCGCTGCCCGCTCTGCGCTCCGCGCCCTCTCGAGCTCCAATGCCTCTGTGGCTCGCTCTTCTCTGGGCAACCAGATCTGCAAGGCTCAGATGACCTCGTCTGCCCGCAATGCGATCCGTCCTTCCGCGCCGAGCTTCGCGCTTGCTGCTCACAAGCCCGTTACCACCGCTCTCGTTCGCTTCTCTTCTTCCTCCGCCCACGTAAGAATCCGGTTATGAATTGTGATTCACAGCGGGGTTCAATGGCTAATCGTATGACAGGGCAAGGATGAGGATGACATCGATGTGATGGCGGGTATGCGTTCCGAGGCTGTACGTACCTTTGAATTCATGTCAAGCGACGACCATTGGATTTATGGATACTGACTCCCAGTATAGAAAGTCATCGGCGAGACCTTCAGCCTGAGCCACGTCCCCAAGGAGGCTCTCTACCTTGGTATGGCCGGTGTGGTCCCCTACCTGGCCACCTCCCTGCAGACCGTCTACCTCTCTTACGAGATCAACCGCGCTGCTGCTCATGGTGACGGTCTCATCTTCTCCGGCCAGTCTGCTGAGCTGATGCTCCACATGCTTGAGCCCATTCAGGTTGGATACGGTGCCGTTGTAAGTCCAACTACGACCTTGAGTCTAGCCCCTCTAAGTTTGCATATTTGCTAATCACCCGCTGTGGTTAGATCCTCTCCTTCCTCGGTGCCATCCACTGGGGTCTCGAGTGGGCTGGCTACGGCGGCAAGTTCGGCTACCGCCGCTACGCTGCCGGTGTCATCGCCCCCGCTGTGGCCTGGCCTACGCTGCTGTTCCCCGTTGAGTACGCCCTGATCAGCCAGTTCCTCGCCTTCACCTTCCTGTACTACAACGACGCCCGTGCCGCCGCTGCCGGCCGTGCTCCCCACTGGTACGGCATGTACCGCTTCGTCCTGACCTTTGTGGTCGGTGCCAGCATTGTCGCCACCTTGATCGGCCGTGAGCAGATCCAGCAGACCATTGTTTCCGAGCACACCATCAAGGACAAGATCAACGCTCTGATCTTCCTCCAGAAGAAGGAGAAGGAGGAGGCTGACGCTCGCCGCCGCGGTGAGATCGAGGAGACCGACTAAATTGCCTTTTGACAAGGTGAAGGGGGGCTCGATTCCCCGAGACAGAACCTCTGTTTGCATTACCCGTGATTTCCTGTAGAATATACGCAGAACGCACTAGGGCGGCCACTGAAATTTTTCTTTTGTTAATTGGAGTGTCCATAGCTGGAGACCAAGTCGCAATGTTTTTTTGAGTCTACGTTTGAGACCCGAGATAAGATATAAAGGTAATCTTGGAATGTTGTAGGTGGAAAGTATATTCACAGACCCTAGAGTAACACGTGCTTGGCACCCAATCTCACATCTGCAGGAGTACCTGAAAAGGGGAGAGTTAATGATCGACCAGGTCACAAGAGACCGGGTTGCCGCAGATCGGCGTCGGGTCTCCGACTTTCCCCCAGGCAAGGGAGAGGGAAAGAAAAAAAAAATCAGAATAACGGCCTGGAGGCCCGGGGATCACGGGGTGCCGAAAATATCCCAACTAGAGATTGACTATGGAGACACTAGTACATCCCTGGATACAGACACAAATCAGAAAAGAGTACTTTTGACCAAAGACATTCTTCAGTCCAGTCCAACATAGTCCAGTATACTGTAGGTATAAGTACAGCAGAGATAGATATCTACTTCGGGAAGGTAAAGCGAGAAAACCTGCATGGTACAGAACCAGCAGCGCAGGAATAGATCGACGAACTCCCATTTGAAATCAACCATTTCCATTCTTTTTCCCTTCTTTTATTTTTCCAGTGGAATTCCTTTTTTGCCGAGTGGGGGTTGTTGCGTCTTCGCGTGATCTACTGAGCTCGCACGTCCCTGTCCCTGGCAGACAGATCCCCTCCACGCGTTAGAGCGTTGTGGCTTCTTATAGGGCAATGAATCATTGGCAAGACCGGTTCTCCAGACTGGGGAACCTGGTACGGGCTGGGGGATGGAAACGTCATCAAATAAGTGGCCAAGGTCTTGGAATACACAATATTGCCAATGCTATACATACAGTACATGTAGTACTGCCCGTGTTATGCTCAGTCAACCCTACCGAGGGGTTCTTCCCCAGGGGGGTGTTCTTGGCCTCGACTAGAATCCGAGAATCTAGGGACTGGGACCTAGACTTACAGTAGGCTTACTCTAAAAATCAATAATTAATTTTTCCAGCATTTCTCCATAAATCGGAAGTAATATCTCAGGGCTAAAATAAGGGGGTTCTAGAACTAGGAAAAATGGATCGTGTCATGTGTTCGATCTACGAGTGGAGGTATGGAGTATGGAGTAACTTATAGCTGGAGTAGTCTGGCGAGTAGTCTATAGTGTAGGTATAGCAAAATATAAGCATATATAAAGTCCAGCAATAGGGGAATCATCAAGGGGTAAGTTGATTGATTATATGTATAGCTGGAGAAGTATAGAGTGGGGAGTGACGAGGTCTTCTGATCAGAAAAAAACCCCGAACCGGATTTGTGGCTCCCCTCCTTAGGCCCACCCCTTTGGATAAGTGGGAGAGCTCCCTCTTTCTCCCTTTTTCTATATCTTCTTTTCTTTCATTCTTCATCTCTACAACTACACCACCTCTCCCTCTAACTCTACTCCCATACGCCACTTGGTGACCGCCAAACCACACCCAAAGTTGCCCGGTCACCGGTACGTCACGGTCCACTTTTCTGCCAACGCTGTGGTCCCCCCCCCCCATATATCACCGCCACCTCGTAGTTCTCTTCCCCTCCCTTAAAATCCCTGGCGTAAACTTGCTCGCCTTTTCTCCCTTGTCTTAATTTCACATCCATCATGCGGAACCCTTTCGAACTGGACTACGATAGCGTTGACGGGGACTCTGAGCCCGCGGGAGATTTCGAGCTTTCTGAAGCACAGCTTCCCCAAGAAGGGCACCATCGACGTTCCAGTCTCGACTACCGACCAAAGCAGCAGGACGATGGAGACCGTTCTCTGTTGCAGAATGAGGATAAGATTCCTGGTGATCTGAAGAACCGGTTTATTGGTACCATTGATCAGGGTACGACGAGTACTCGATTCATCATCTTCGACTGCACAGGCGTGCCGGTCGCCAAGTATCAAACCGAGTTCCGTCAGATTCACGAGCACCCAGGGTAGGTGTTGAGACTTCCTTCGCAACTCTCAGACCCCAGGATTGACTTGCCCCGCACCCCACAGATGGCACGAACAAGACCCTTACGAATTGGTTGAATCGGTCTACATTTGTATGGAAGAAGCCATGAAGTCCTTCCTTGCTGCTGGCCACGACGCATCCGACATCGAAGCAGTTGGCATCACCAGTCAACGAGAGACTGCATTGGTTTGGGACTGGGAAACAGGCGAACCCTTGCACAACGCTATCACGTGGACCGACACCCGCACTGTCAACCTGGTCCGTGAACTCAAGGCAAAGCCCGGCGCGGACGAGCTTGCCAACATTTGCGGTCTCCCTCTCTCTACATACCCCTCCTCGGTCACACTACGATGGATGCTCGACCATCTCCCCGACGTCAAGTCCGCATATGACGACGGTCGGGCTGCATTCGGAACCGTCGACTCCTGGCTCATTTACAATCTCAACGGTGGTCCCCAGAACAAGCGTCTGGTTACTGATGTGACCAATGCCTCGCGGACCATGTTCATGAACCTTGAAACCCTCAAATATGACGATCGGTTGTTAAAATTCTTCGACATTGACAAGACTAAGATCCGTCTCCCAGAAATTCTTCCCTCGGCTGACCCCGAGGGCTTTGGTCGGATCGTTGAGGGGCCGTTGGATGGTGTCCGCATCACCAGTTGTCTGGGTGACCAAGCTTCAGCGTTGGTCGGTCACTGTGCATTCACGCCTGGAATGGCCAAGAACACATACGGCACAGGTTGCTTCCTTCTCTACAACGTGGGTGATAAGCCTGTGATTTCGAAACACGGCCTGTTGGGCACTGTCGGTTTCCAACTGGGTCGAGATCGCAAACCTGTCTATGCATTGGAAGGCAGTGTAGCGGTGGCGGGTAGCGGTGTGTCCTTCCTAATGAACAACCTCGGTTTCTTCCGTGACTCGCGGAAGGTCAGTGATTTGGCTGCCAGCGTACCGGATAACGGAGGTTGCATTTTCGTTACCGCTTTCAGTGGTCTCTTTGCTCCTTACTGGATCGATGATGCCCAAGGAACTATCTGTAAGTTGTCCTCGGTCGTGATTACAATATTTTCCACTAACTTTGTCTAGGGGGTATCACTGCCCACACACAAAAAGGACACATTGCCCGTGCTACCATGGAAGCAGCCTGTTTCCAAACAAAGGCCATCCTCGATGCTATGGCAATGGACAGTGGCAAGAGTCTGACGGAATTGGCCGTAGATGGCGGTATGAGTAATTCCGACGTTTGCATGCAGGTACGTATACAATCTCGCCAACAATTAGATTTAATATCGCTAACCCTGTTCTGCTTAGACTCAAGCCGATATCATTCAAATTCCCGTTGAGCGCCCCTCAATGCACGAAACCACTGCCCTCGGAGCCGCCATCGCCGCAGGCTTCGCCGTCGACATTTGGAAAGACTTCTCCGAGCTCAAGCACATGAACCGCGCAAACCGGGCATCCTTCACACCCCAGATGACACCCAAAGCCAGCGGGCGCATGTATAAAAAGTGGTCCAAGGCGGTCGAAATGTCCCGCGGCTGGATGAACGACGAGGACCGTATGGAACACGATGAAGATGACGACGAATAAACCACATTTCTACAAATATTCATTGAGATGACGCCGCCAACCGGCCTGTCATCGACACCGGAACCGAGTTCGTGCTTCGCATGCCAGCATACGACTCTACGTGAGAGAAGCGAGAGGGAGAATTGAGAAAGAGGGGCGTTTTCATCAAGACCAGAACCATACCATACCACCGGACAACCGCGCATATTCTTTCTTTGACAAACCCGGATAATGATTATCCATTTTTCGGGGAGAGGGGATCTGGACACAAACCCCACGTTTCCCTTTTTTTATATACATATATTAGAGAGCCTCCCTGATTAGAAAGTCCGTCCTAATAGGCGTGAGTTCATCACGCCAGTGCACCGCCCTACCCCTACCCCTTCCTCCCCTTCATTTCATGAATTATGATGGGAGTCGTCTTTTCTTTCCAGCGTGGATATGAGGGGCTGAGCTGGAAATCTTATTTCATTTTTTTTTTTTTCATCTTTCTTTTTCATTACGCTGTTGACTACTCTTCCTTTGGAAGATGTTGTTGGCTTAGCATGTGTATATACCTACCGTTCTGTGGGAAAATGAAGCCAAAAACATTTCAAATCATCTCTAACATCTCTATCATTTAATATCATCTCTATATAAACACCGTGACAATCGTTCTCGAGACAATGAAACATACCCTACCACCAAACCCCAAATACAAAGCACATACCCCTCCAACCCAAACTCTAACTCAACCTCATCAACTACCCACTAAACAACACAACCATTACATATACGCTACAGAGTACAGAGTACATCTCTATAATCCAAATCGCAAAACAAGAAATAAGGCATCACAATTCAATCCCAGTCAAGATCCAAAATCAAATCAATAAATGACATCATACCAGTGGGGTAACCCAATCAAGGTTATTACAGCAACGCCCGTAGGATCATGCTTCGTGCTCGAACTATGACTTCAGCAGTGCCTGAGGATGCGATGAAGTCATCTCTAGAGTTTGGGACTGGGCTTCTCGGTCCGTGGTTCGTTTAGGGTTGTTTCTATTTTGGGTTTGGGGCCTGTGGTTTGGTTGATATGGATGGATATGGGGATTGCTTGGTAGGGATTTTATGGTGGGGTAGGACAGGGTATGTTGCTTGCTATCTCTGATGAGATTTGTTTTGTTTTCTCTCTTCAGTATTGAAGAACCGATAGTTGACCCTGTGTCATGTCGACTGTGCACATATATATCCCACCACCCTGATTTTGTAATCGAGTCCATTTATATTTGGCAATGTCACTTTATTACCATAGCAACTATAGTACACATAAAGTCTGATAGCAATAGATTATTGCGCAATGCTTCACAAAGATTGCTGACCGTATGCTTCACTGACTGTAGTCATCCAGGTCTCGATCCACATTCCAGCATCTCTAACCCTGCATAGTATACAACCCTCCCATCCCAACAAACCCATTGTAAATTCACTCCTTCCTCTTCCTCTCAAGCTCAAGGTTCTGAAGCCTCTCAAACCCACCCCAAATCTCAACAACACTATCCTTAACATAATCTAAAACACGTCAGTTAACACTCACCCAAAATAACCTTGGAACCATTCCATAGAATGATCTGAGCAATACTCACAACAACCAACAACCATCCAAATAAAATTAAAAAAGAAATAATAAAACCAGAAGTAATACCCCTCAGGCCGACAATACGATTCATCCAGCAGGCTGGTAGCATAGTAAAGCACGTCACCGTAAACCTGACCAGTCGAGATGATAATCTGCAAAGCATGTCGGATTGGATGTTGGACGGCGATGCAGTATGCTATTATAAATGCTAGAGGACCCCATGCGAACTGTGTAGAAGAGAAACATACCGTTAGAATGTGGCTCACAGGAATGAAGAAAGATCAAGATCAAAACTAAGATCAAGCACGCGGTCATCTTTCGATGCAGATTCCATGTAGATGCTTGTGTACATACCGCCGTAACAGCCTCCATAGAAATCAAAAAAGCATCCGAAGTCAAATAGCGCGAATCAGAAAGCGAGTATTCCTTCCATAATTGCGAGAAGAGGGATTGGCCGCCAGCCAGTGATTTGTGGTTTATGACGAAGTGGGCCTCGAAGAAGAGGTGGATGAATCCCGCTGTTGATAGTTGATATTAGATGGTGTTTTTGTTATTCCTTGGCTATTCATGTTTTCATCATGGTAACAGGGAACAGAATAGAGGAAATAGTAATAATCAAGACAAGAATATATACATACTCAAACACATCCAAGTAAACGCAATCCGATCCGACAAGCACACAGTCGGCCGTAGACGACCAATGAAGAAGAATGAGGCGCAGAGAACGAATAACCATTGCAGACCAAATCGAGTGATTAGTGACAGCACGCTGCTTTCATTGGGTGTGTAATGCGGTAGGGATATCCCAGGTGGATAGTAGATATGGGATATCGGGATTGAATCCATATTTGGGTCTTTTGGTTTTTTCGTCGTGATAAGGGGGGTTTTTGAAGTGATTTGAATTCCATTTTGTTGCTCCTTGAGCTGATAGTCCCTTTATATTCATGTGCTTTTCGACGCGAGCCTTGCAATAAGCCAAGACGTGAAGGGTCTCGGGGCCCGCGCGTGCCGCGGATGATGGATTCCCGAGTCAGGCCAGTTAGTTCTTTTGGATTGGTAATGTACTTAGTTTACGTTTGTTTATATTATTGGTCTTTAATGATTGCTTTATTAGTGACTATGCAGATTCTCTGTCCACTGGCTCGTTTTCAGCCACCGTCTGTAGAAAATACCCCTTGTTCATGCTGTCCAGCTTCCTTAGGCCCCGATCTGCCGTGCTTGTGCATATTCTTTCTCTATGTTCCCCATGTCGATTTGTCAAGTTTGCCGTGCATATCACCATCTTGTCTACCTTGTCTTGCCACTTTAAGGACTGCTGTGGTCTTAAGATGCCCACAGATCCACCTTGTACACCACCATAATCACAAATTGTCATTCTCCTTAGTATGAAGTCGAGGATTCGTCCAATCTGTCTCGCAACAGAAGGCGACGTACTCTCGACTCGACTTGGCGATTTTGCGGTCACCTTGGTAGTTGTGGCATGGATGGACGCGGCGCAAAGAAGTGCCGAAGCCAATTCTCAAGCGTCGCACTGGGGAATGAGTGCTGGTAGTGAGAGAAAAGAAGAAACGTCTTATGATGGGGTTCGGGAGATGAGAGAGTGTATACTGTGGAGAAATAGTCCTACAGCTACATCGACCAGTACAATCAATAATAGTATGACATACACGTACAGAATATGTACAGCACAGATCCGTTCAAGCCAGAATGATATTACCCGCAAGACAGCAAGATAAACCCAAACCAACCAGAAGACGTCAGATTGAGGAACAAGATATAGAAGAGAGAACCAAGGAAAAATGGTATTTTCAATAAAGACGCCCGAACGATCCGGGGATGCACGATAGAGACACAAAGCATAGGTGGTTTTCGTAGAGCCAGCAAGAAAACAAGAAGACATAATCAAACAATCCCGGAGAGGAGAAGGGAATAGAGAGTAGAAAGACAGAAGGCTTATTCGGTGGCAGTTGGGGGACCTGTGGCCGCAGATGGGTTGATATTGGTCGACTGCAAGGCATCGGGAAGCTTGACTGGAGCCCGTGGCGATGACGCTAGCTTCTTGATCTTCTCTCCTTTCAGCACTTGTTCCATCTCCTCCTTCGTGAGCGTCTCGTACTCGATCAGCGCCTTGGTAAGGAGCTCGAGCTCGTTGCGCTTCTCGGTTAGGATGGTGGTTGCGCGGTCACGGGCTTCCTCTACGAGTCGGCGCACTTCGCCCTCAATTTCTTGCTTGGTTTCGGATGACAGGCTGTCGTAGTTGGTTGAGAGGTCAACATTGCCTAGTTTCTTGGAGTATCCGAATCGGGTGATGAGCGTGAACGCTGTCTCGGTGGCGCTTTGGATATCCTAGAAGGTGTTAGTATTGACGATATAATTGGTGAGATGCTGTGACTTACAGCTGAGATACCACTGGTGACATTGTCGTGACCGAAAACCAATTCCTCAGCAGCCTTGCCGCCCATCGAGACGGCAATATCTGCCAAGTATTCCGTGTAGTTCCTGGAGACTGTGTCCATCTCCGGCAGGAAGTGGGTGATACCCAGAGCCATACCACGGGGAACAATGGTTATCTTATAGAGTGGGGTAGAAGAAGATGTGAAGTGAGCAACCAAGGCGTGACCAGCCTCGTGGTAAGCAGTCAAGAGTTTGTCCTTGTCTTGGATGATACGGCTGCGAGCCTCAGCACCCATCATGATCTTGTCCTTGGCGTAATCAAAGTCAAATGAGCCAACCTTGCTCTTGCGGTCACGACTGGCGTGGATCGCGGCCTGATTTACCAGGTTCTCAAGGTCAGCACCAGAGAAGCCGGGAGTACCACGCGCAATAACACCAATGTCGACATCGTTACCGAATTGAATCTCCTTCATGTGGTGTCTCAGAATGTCCATACGGCCACGGACGTCGGGCAGATCGACAACGACCTTACGATCAAATCGACCAGGGCGAGTCAAGGCCTTGTCCAGCAGCTGTGGGTAGTTGGTCGCACCAATGATGATAACACCACTGCTCTGAGAGAAACCGTCAAGTTCAGTGAGAAGCTGATTGAGCGTCTGCTTCACGTAGGCAGCATCGCGCTCGTTTCGCTTGGCACCTATCGCATCCAGTTCATCGATGAAGATGATAGCGGGAGACTTGCCACGAGCCTGAGCAAATAGATCACGGACTCGCTTCGCACCGACACCGACGTAGACTTCGTCGAATTCAGATCCAGACATGTAGAAGAACGGAACACCTGCTTCACCAGCAACAGCACGTGCAAGCAGGGTCTTACCAGTACCAGGAGGGCCGACCAGGAGAACACCCTTGGGAAGCTTACCACCGAGGGAGGAGAAACGTTCCGGGTTGATGAGGAATTCCACGAGCTCTTGCAGTTCGTCCTTAGCCTCGTCACAACCGTGCACATCAGTGAAGCGGGCGGTTTGCTGTTGAGGCTGAGCTTCCTTGTCTTGAGCGCCGCGGACGTTCTTCAAAACACCAGTAGTTTCAACCAAGATAGTGACCGTGACCAGAGAGATATAAGTGAAGAAACCGAAGATGAGCAAAAACTTGACCCAGCGGAACACAGTGCTTCCCAGAGACTCGTCAACCACAACGTAGAGAGGAGCCTCCTTAGCACCGGTGCCATTTTGCCGAGTTGACATTCCAATTTGACTGCCAGTACTCCGAGCGGCGACTGCTTGGCCAACCGCCTGAAGCTGTTCTGGGCTAAGGTTTCCGTGTTGTCCGGCGAAAGCTCCGTCGCCACCGATGCGCGCTTGAGCCTGCTGGAGCAACGCATCGGTTGCGCCATCGCTAGCATAGTATCCACTTCGGTGTCGCTCGAGAACAATTGCGGGCATGTTGGCACGGAGGAGAGCCTGGTAAAAAGCATTTTGGGCACTGGTGTTGCTGGGACTATTGTTCGCGATCTTTTCCTTCTGGGCTAGCATATAGTGCGAGGATCCTCCAGATCCTCCAAACAGGAATCGTTGCTGCTGGAGCTTGGAGACACCATTGAGCCTCGGGGCAGGTCGTAGAGAGTTGAGACGGAAGGGGGACAGAGTCGAATAGGAACGAGCACCGGGGAGAGTATGAGTTGGCGCAAAGGATACGGTTCGGATTGGGCTGTCTAAGGCAAATCCGGGTTAGATTGATACTTCCAACACGTTCTGACAGAGTAGGTCGACATACTTGTGCTCAACAATGATGACCATGCACGTTGCGCGGGCCGGCTAATGACCTCTGCTCTCAACGTGTCAATGGAAGCGGTTTCCAGGCAATCTGGCAGCGGAACACGCTGAGAGGTCTATCTTCATTAGTATCCGGAACATTCACACGTGTTAGGAGTATGCCGTACCACCACATTCTGTTGTCCAGCAGAACTCCGCTGGAGAGGCTCGCTGACGTGAGCTGTCGGAGTTCGCCCGGTCTGTCTGAAGGGAGCGGCTAGGAAATTAGACATCGAAGGCCAGAGCTCCGTTGTCACAGCTGTAATATTCTGGAAGAGAATAGCTGTCGTTAGTGGGATATTCGCAAAGGACGTGATAGCACTTACGGGAATTGGGGCTTGGAAAGCCATGACTGTCCGATGTACAGCGGCACTCGGCCGCGTGCGAAGATGAGGGTCTGCTCCCCTGAGTCAAATGTAGAAAGTCGATATCCGTTAGACTCTAATAAAAGAGCATGCCATCGCTGACGAAAGAGTGGATGTGATGTTTGATGCGGCGAAAGGCCATTGCCACAGTGCCCCAATCGGACTCCGTAGTGATCACGTGGCGGTCCGATATAACCCTCGACCAACCACGTCATTTTTGATATAGCTTCGAAAGAGTTGTGAAGATGCTAGTTCTCGTCTCTAGCTTGCAAGTTATTATCACCCAAGGATTGAGAGAAGAAGACGTGACAGACAGTTGACTTCCCAAGAGACGCTATAGATGAGCTCAGTCCGTGGTTCAAAAATCCAAACTTGACGTTTCTTGACCTCTTTGTCTCACTATGTGATCATATCCTATCTTTGGGTTGCCCTTGCCTGAACAAAGCTATGAACTATTTCCTCTATGAGTTTATTCAAGACTTCTCCATTGCCTTGTATCAGCTACACTTACACAGTGCCATAAAAGTGTTGGACATGAAGCCAGTGTACCCATTATACACAGTTTTCACCCTACTTTGACATCTCATTCTTCACCTCATCTTGGCCCATTTTGGAGGACCTCATGATTTCCTACAATGACTAAAAGAAATATCTTCTTGGTGGGATCCCCTCTTTCAAGCAGTCTAAATTGGGACAACGACGACCTTCTCAACAACGCTATACACCCCTTCGAGGAAACTCATCCATATCGTCGGTTAACTGTAGAGGAATCTTACCGGGCCAAATGGAGAGCACTGCCATCAATCCACGATCTCAATGTTCCCTACCAGGAGCATGTGAACCCGTTATTTCTCGTCTCCGATCAGCTGGATGTTGCACCAGATTCCGATCTCTCGAAATTCTACCGGCATTCTTTTCTGGTCCATGAAACCTCCGAGGTGTCTGCTTCAGAGTTAGAGATAGCAGACTCGACGCAAGAGAGCAGTTTGGGGGAGGACAGTGTGACTACGTCTACGTATGACAACGAAGTCCCGAGGTCACCACGCATACTTCACATCCCTGGACCCCTCCGCGATCTGCACGACCTTCCTACGGCGAAGTACATCCAGTCCATTGCACCACAAACCATGACTGTGAACCTGACCGTGGGGGTCCTGGCTGCTCATCCCCCACGCCGCGTGGTTACACGGCAATGGAAAATCGAATTGGACATTATCGAGCTCGTCGTTGCCGATGAGACAAGGACTGGATTTGGAGTCAACTTTTGGATCAAACCTGGTAACTCATCCACCAATGCCAACAGTGAAACAGAGCTGGCTCGATCACTGGCAGGCCTTCGTCCCCGCGATATTGTCCTACTGCGTCATGTTGGACTGAGCACATTCCAAAGCCAGGTGTACGGACAAAGTCTGCGAGGGGTGACTACTGTTGAGCTCTTACACCGCGAAGCAGTTGATGTGACGGATGCAGTAGGATTCTATGAGAGCATCCAGAGTAACGTTCAGGATGCTGCACTACAAAAGACTCGCAGAGTACGAGAGTGGATGCTTCGATTCGTGACGGATGCGGCAGGCGGTGGAATGCTTGGAACACGTGGGCGACTGCCTCCGGACACACAGTAATTGACTCTTTGTATTCATCTTTATATTCATTTTTGTAGTAGATTATTATATTACTGTGTCTAATTGAGGGCTCACTTGGACAGGCATCTAACTTGCAAGTTATGTTCAATAGTGTTATACATGTACTCGTAACTCACTTGGATATGTATCAGGACGGGAGACTCCACCTCAGGGGCGATACCTCATGACCTGTTGGAATGAATCTGGTTTGGGGTCCGGTGCTAGCCACGCAATAAGATTGGATGTGTAGCCCGAGGCTGAGCTAAAGGCTGAGACCTCAGGAGATCTATACATGCTGCACGCGGAATTCCTCACACATGCAACATGCAACATGCAACAGACAATGAATACATTACTGAAATAAATATCAAACAAGTGCAAGAAATTTCATAATTGAAGAATGTAGACCCGAATTCAGCATAAAACGTGAAGCCGTACACATCTATACTCCGTACGGACTGCCCCTTTTCCCGCAAACAGAGCCCCTCCAATCACCGCTCACGTGCCCCCACTTGGACGAAAATAAATCCATCAACGGCCAGGTGTTCCCTAAATACTGAGTCTCTCCTTTTGCATTGCCTCCACCTATCTTTCTAATTTCATCTTCACTACCAAATCAATATGAAGGGTATGGCTCTATACAATGCTTCCCCACGCTCAGCACTGACTCTCAATAGCTCTCATTCTTGTTGGAGGGTTCGGGACCCGTCTGCGTCCTCTGGTAAGTCGTCGATCTCCCATCCCATTGACCTCCCCTCCGGTCGGAAAAGTTATGACTTTTGATCTGGTCTATAATGCTAATGCTATAATCTAGACTCTCACTCTGCCTAAGCCCCTTGTTGAGTTCGGAAACCGTCCTATGATCCTGCACCAAGTCGAGAGCTTGGCTGCTGCTGGTGTCACCGATATTGTGCTTGCTGTCAACTACCGCCCCGATGTTATGGTTGCGGCTCTCAAGAAATATGAGGAGGAATACGGTGTGAACATTGAGTTCTCTGTGGAGTCCGAACCGCTGGGTACGGCTGGCCCGCTCAAGCTGGCGGAGAAGATCCTGGGCAAGGACGACTCGCCTTTCTTCGTGTTGAACTCCGATGTCATTTGCGACTACCCTTTCAAGGACCTCGCCGATTTCCACAAGAAGCACGGCGATGAAGGTACCATTGTCGTCACCAAGGTTGACGAGCCCTCCAAGTACGGTGTTGTTGTTCACAAGCCCAACCACGCCTCCCGCATCGACCGTTTCGTCGAGAAGCCCGTCGAATTCGTTGGCAACCGTATCAATGCTGGAATCTACATTCTCAACCCCAGTGTCCTGAAGCGCATTGAGCTGCGTCCTACCTCCATCGAGCAGGAGACCTTCCCCGCCATCTGTAAGGAGGGCCAGCTCCACTCTTTCGATCTCGAAGGCTTCTGGATGGATGTTGGTCAGCCCAAGGACTTCCTCACCGGTACCTGCCTGTACCTCACCTCCCTGGCTAAGCGCAACCCCAAGCTTCTTGCCCCGCATTCCGAGTCCTACGTGCACGGTGGCAATGTCATGGTCGACCCCTCTGCCAAGATCGGCAAGAACTGTCGCATCGGCCCTAACGTTGTCATTGGTCCTAACGTCGTGATCGGCGATGGTGTCCGTCTGCAGCGCTGTGTTGTGATGGAGAACTGCAAGGTCAAGGATCATGCCTGGATCAAGTCCACCATTGTTGGCTGGAACAGCTCCGTTGGCCGCTGGGCTCGTCTTGAGAACGTCACCGTTCTCGGAGACGATGTTACCATCGCCGACGAGATCTATGTCAACGGTGGCTCGGTTCTGCCCCACAAGAGCATCAAGCAGAACATTGATGGTAAGTCTTGGCTTTGGGATATATTTAGACCTGAATTAACCTTGTTTCTAGTTCCCGCAATCATCATGTAATTTCTCCCCTTCAATCACGTCGCTATGCCCTAAATACCTCCCCTCATCCTCCCTTCACCCCCTTCTGCCGATACCACCCTTTCCGCCTCGTTGCATAGAACCGGAGTCGTTTTCTGCGTTATCTTCTCTTCTGTTGCCGTTGCCGGCTTGCCTTTCCCCGTTGGCGCTCATTGCCCTCGCAATATCCTTCCTTTCGTCTCCCGATGATCGATACATTCAGAAACCTAGATGGTGGAAGCCTGCGATATCGGCCTTTTTTTGCAAGAAATTACCCCTTTTAGTCTTCTCCCTCTTTTTCTTATTCTTTCAACCTGTTCTAAGCTATCCCCGTTTTATTGCAACATATTGAGGTTTCATCACATCATTCCCGCTTCCTTGCGTTGTTGACCACACATTTGTTCTTTTCCAATTATTCTTTTCTCTCTGCTGGTTTTTAGCAATTTGTGGACAAGGAAATCATGCCATATCTATTTTAATGAGATCATGCGCGTGGGCGGGTTCTGTTGATGTACATAATGGGAGGCGGATGTCAAAACAAAAAAAGATGCAACTCCTTTAGTTTTCAATGTACTCCGTATGGATTATCGTATTATATTGTCCTTCGTAGATCTTGTCATAAATGTATACTAAATGCTACTGAACAGTTTATTGGAAATTCGAAGCGAGTATCATGTATGTGCATTGTTTTTGCCTTACTTGGCCATTGACGGTTGCATCGCGTTCATCATAGATTACCCGTTGTATTATGTGTACACTAGTTTATTACATGCAGATATTAATGTAGTATGTCATCTACCATTCTGCAGACGACAGTCCTTCCTCTGCCAACACCATGTTATGCCTGGCTAGTCAAGTCACCTATGAGCTAGCCTCAGCCCGATCAAGGATCTCATCCCATTGAATGCGCAGTTCCTCCATCTTCTTCCAACACTGGCGCCCGAGTCCCTCAAACTCAACCTTCTGCTCCCTAGTCAAGTCCACGGCGCCACGCTTACGACGTCGGACCCGATCACCCTCAGTAACAAAAGTTCCAACAACACCTCCATGCCCCCATCCATCAAGCTCAGTAGAAGCAATACTATCAACACCAGACCGCGTGCAAGACGAGCCCCATTTCACATGGCCACCATCAAACAGGCGATACGGCGCCTCAGCAGCCTCAACTTCATCCTGCGTCCGCAGAGCTAGGAAAACAGGCGCACAAGCACCAAGATAAGTCGACAGGTTATGCCACGGCGAGCCGAGCATACGCGCAAGCCAGAAAGCAATAACCATGCAATAGACAAGCGGAAGCGCAAGAGGGATAATAGCCGTAGCACAGATTCCAGGATGAGAAAGATAAGAGCGCGGCAATGCAGTAGGCGGATCGGTATGAATAGCATGCGTCTCAGCCTCCGTCTCAGACTGCAAGAAGCTATCGACAGCCCACGGGGCCGTACTCTCCAGATCAGAGGTCAAAGCCAGGATATCAGTAAGAGCCTTGGAAGACTCGTACGGGGTAGACGACTTCAAGGCCTGGATATCATCCACATTGAACATCTTCGTCGTAGCCTCATTACTAGAGCACCAGACAACACGCCCGGGCCCGTGAATGCGCGCGCGCTTCAGCAGCGGTGTCACATTGTGCGCCAGCATGTAATGACCAAAGACGTTTGCACAGAATACAGATCCGAGGGGCGGTTCATCGGGGATCTTTGTTTGCTTGTCGGTGAGTACGCCGATGGGTGCGAGTTTGTACGACGGCCATGTTACTTGGTGGACTAGGTCGGTGCACACACCCCAGATTGCGGCGGGCCAGTCGATTCCCGACCACCCGCCTAGGCCGGCATTGAGGATGATAGTGTCGAGTCTTGGGAGGGTGCGGATTAGTTTGCGGGATAGTTCGCGCACCGAGAGGAGGTTGCCGAGGTCGACGCTTTCGTTTCTGAAGTGTACGCGTGCTGCGGCGGAGGCAGAGGGCGCATTTGAATGGAGGTGGGCTTCCAGTCTGCGTCGGGTGTCTTCTGCTTTGCGCGCACTTCGGGTTGTGAATATTATTGTGAGGCATTGGGATTTTGGGTGCGAGGCGAGGAATTCATCGGCGAGGCGGCAGCATATTGAGAATCCGAGGCCACTGAGGGATGTTAGGGCTTGATCTTTGTGGTAAAGGTTCAATCGAGTATTACCTGTTTGCTCCTGTTACCAGAATATACAGCATATCTGCTGTCTCGCTAGAAGTCTCCTTTTCCATGATTTGATGTGTTTTTAGTGTTGGCACTTTTTTTTTATCGCGGCGACAGGGGTCGTGCAACAAATCTTCAATTGAAGAAAATTCAGCGGCACAAAGCTAGCGTGTGAGTTGCTAGTAAATGCGATATGCGAGAGGAAGTTGGTCTCAAAGTTTACCTAGTACCATCGACTAACAAAAGGTGAGTTCAGTCGGGAAACACCAGGGGTGTGTACAACAATATATTGCACGTGATCTTATCCTTATCGCAACTACGGAGTACCGAACTGTTGTGCTTCGTCATTCTCTCCTTCATTTCTTCGCATGGCTGAGCTCTGCTAAGTGTCACCTGCCGTGCATTCGGCACGCGGTCATGGCAGTCAGACTCGAGCGGTTTCTCAATACGACCGGATTCTTCTTTTTCGCCCTCATCCTCTTCTGCCTTATCCTCCTCACCCCGGCCGACGCCATCTACCAATGCTACGAAACAGACCGACTCACCAACATTTTCTTCATCACCGGCGCATACGTAATTACTTTTCTTTTCGCAGTTCTCATTTATTCGACGCGCATTTACACAAATCGCAACACACTCACCGGCATCCCGAAAGCCTGGATTCCCGTGGAGAAGGAAGATGTGAACCGGAGCGTCAGACGACTGGTCAAAGAAGGTCTCGCCCGTAGCGCGGTGATCGCATACCAGGCGCGTCCACGCGATATTGCAGCCGACGAGGACAACTTCCAAAACCACCAAGAGCTTCTGATTGACTCCGAACGGCCCCCGTGGGGCCATGTCGAGCACCCCGGCTGGTCTTCGCCGGCCTCGCCAGATCTGCCCGATTTGCCATATCGCACGGTCATTCAGGAATTACCTAGCTTGATTGAAGCTAAAGCTGTGTCCCTTGCTCCGGCCGACTCGTTATCGCCTCCCCAAGACCCCTTTGGCCCGTCGGGCGATCTTACGACGCATTCTCTGCCAGATACGCGGGTTGTGGAGGTGTTGCAGCGCCCCGCCTCTATGGGGCTGAGGGAGTACATTCGGCACCTCACATCCCTGGGAGTAATCTACCCTCCCGAATTAGGGGCTGAATTTCTCGCGCTTTACGAACATGCACGATTCTCATCACGGGACCTACATGAGGCTGAGTTTCGTGATCTCATGCATCTCTTTGCTGAGATTCTGAGAGGAATGACGACTCTTGCAGCGCCGATCCTAGACGAAATTTATGACAGTGCAAGCTTCCGACAAGCTTATTCTGAATCTATCATCGGGCCTTCAGACGAAGAGGGCGAGACGGATACTGTCGACAATTCTGCGTACGCGCGGTCTTCGAGACTAATGCGCAATAACAGCCTCCGCCCATCCAATGCGTCCACTTGGGAAACCCAGTCTGGGTATGACACTGCACCCGCAATGCAAAGCCCTCACTCGGGTATGTCAATTGAAAGCGGCTCCTACATGGGACAAGGTCGTTTCCGCACGCCTTCTACAAGGTCCCTCCGACGCGCTCAATCGTGCCAGTCTGGCAGCTCGGCGGGTAGTGTCATTCGCCTGTCACAACCACGAGACCTTACAGATCTACCATACACCATTGACTACGCTGGACGTAGGCATTGACGACATCCCATGCACGACCTGTATATTAGTTCATAGAACCGGCAAGTGGACGGCATTTGACCGGAAAATGTGGGGGCTTAGTCAGACGGAAAACATTCCGATGCTTGGCAAAAGCTGCAAAATGATTGATAAGATCACAGTGCCATACGCGTCATTGCAGACACTTCCTTCTCATTCCGTAATTTGTGCTCTTTCGCTCTGTGGTCTGTAAAAATGCATCTCTTCCGTCGAGGGACATCCTCCCTTTTCAACTCCTCGAACGCCTCCCTCGCCTCCTCCAAGACCGATGCCACGACCGACGCGGTGGGCGACAATGCCCTCGCCGCAGAGGGATTCCAGAAAGTCGCATCCAGCGACAAGTTGTTTGCAACTGTCGATCCAGCTGTAGACGGAGACGACTGCTTGCACGATTGTGCTACATGCACGGTCAAATACCCCGCCAAATTCGACATTGATCACCAAGACGAACTATACGGGCAGGTCAATGGGTGGGCAACGCACTTGCTCGTCGCAACCGGCAAATCAGATTGGGTCAGAGATGTGGCAGACGAGGAGGGAAGTGTCATGGAAGCAATTGAGAAGGGAGGGCTGGAACCAAGCAATGGGGTATGAGAAACAGCCAGGCAGCTGAGGCTCTTGCTTGCCAGAGCCTAGAGCCAGAGCGCATAAACCGTATTGCAAAACACCAGCTAACAGTGATGAAACAGAGGCTCAAGCTATCAGCATCGAACATGCCCGTTCCAGACGAATACCACTTCGAAGAAAAAGGGAAACAACCAACAAACGTCCTCCTCCTGCCCAGCTTCACCGTTGTAGAGCATGTCACGCCGCAACTGGTTCCAGACCTGATTGAGAACTTCGTCAACAAATCCTTGACTACCACAACACCACTAGGCGAAGCACCACTGGTACCCTCGCCTCCAGCCTCACCCGACAGCTCGGCCGAACAAACTAAACTGCCACACCCATCTACGACATCCATCACATCTCTCCGCTCCCACCCATGCCCACACGCAGCAGTAGTCCTCCTCTGCTCACAGCGCACGCGCGACGCCCGCTGCGGCCAATCCGCACCACTCCTCAGAAAGGAATTCGAGCGTCACCTGCGGCCGCTCGGGTTATACCGTGATATGGACGACCAAAGACCCGGCGGTGTGGGTATCTACTTTATTAGTCATGTTGGTGGACACAAATACTCTGCCAATGTGATTGTGTACCGTCGCCGGGACTTTGATTGGTACAAGCGTGAGCCAGTTGAGGGTGTGGATCGTGAGGACGAGGGTGCTGCGCAGGGTATCTGGCTTGCGCGTGTGCGGCCTGAAGAGTGTGAGAACATTGTCAAGTATACTGTTCTCCAGGGTAAGTTGCTCAAGCCTGATTCACAGTTGCGGGCTGGTTTTGACCGAGAGCGTGGTGTGACGAGCTGGTAAAGTTGTTCAAGTTCATTCTCATTCTCGAAGATATGGGTTTGTTGATGTTGATGTACATATCGTGTATGTCTTGATATATACATCGGGTATAACTTCCATGTTGCGCTATGATCTATGCATTCATATGTATCCCAACACCGCATCCTCTCCATTCGGGTCTTTTACCCAAGATCAAAGCCAGAGTCAGAAGACAATTTGTATCAGACAAACCTGGCATTCCCTGAATCGAGTCTATATGAGACCCAGCAGTAGAAACGCACTTATCCAAATTCCAGCCAAGCCACAAACCCGCTTATGCCCAGCTATGCCTAGCTATGCCATAGTCAGACCTACAACCCGCCTTGAGACCGTAATGAGCACATCTCGGACTTTACCGACTTTAGTACAAAACCATCCCACATAAGATCAGACCATGACATGCCCACCTAGGCATAAACCCATACCCACACCCACACCGATCCCGATAACCATACCCATACCATACCCCTCTACCCCTTCCATGCACCCCACAAAACAAACGAAACAAGGAAATACACATCCAAACGCAAGGAGACGATACTGGGCCGTGCTATCGCCACGTTAGTCGTTGGCGTGCATGCGTACCCGACTGCCGAGCCGGCCCTGCGTGGATAACGATGAAGCCATCACCATTTTTAGACCCAGCAGCAGGTTAAAACGTCATATTGCACGTCGATTAGTCAGGTAGTAAGAGGGGGGGTCAGATGATGGAAAGGGGGAACGAAAAGCCAAGCCCATCAGCCGCCATCAGCCATCAGCCATCAGCCATCGGCCCTTGAGGGTTTGGGATCCACTGGGCTTGGTGTGGAGTAACGTGAGACGGTGATTGCTCAGGATAGAGAACTATTCTAGGGCTTCGCCAAGGAAGGGAAGTGTAGAGCGAGTGACGCGGATTTGGGTATGCATTTGGCAGTTGGTGTTTAGTGTCTGCTTGCGGGATTTGGGTTGACGGGATGATATCCCTGTTTTTTTTTTTTTTTTTTTTTTTTTTTTTTTGTGCTGTGCTGTTGGTGTCAGATATGGAGATAATGTTGATTTGACTAGTATGCAGCAAGGAGGCGTACCAGGAAATGACTGGCTTTGGTTTTGGTTTTGATAGGGGGTAGGTTTGCATCTCTTTCTCTTTCTTACCTCTTTTCTTACTCTATCTGAACTAAAATATGAATGGAGAGCCAATGCCTGCAAGGGGCGAGAAACGGTGGCTTGTTTGACCTCAGCCCCAAGACCCTGTCGTGTCTTCTGTCTACTGATAGGAGGAAGTATTGCTGACCGACACTTCGAGAGACGCCTAACCGACGAGTAAATGCGATGAATTTCATTTCCGTGACGATTGCACAGGGCAGAGATAGACAATAGATCGTCTTCGCTTATTCTATGTGAACTTAGAACATGTTCTTCGGCTAGCCAGTCAAGGAGAGCGTGATTGGCATTCTACTGCTTCTCCTTAATGAAGAAGGAGACGCAAATATTCACACAATCGACAGAAACCCAGTCAGCTTGGTCACTTGCCACTCGTCACTCGTCACTTGTCACTGGTCACCCTGGGCGATAGTCATCCGGAGCTCACATTAGTGCCGTCGCCATGCGCGCGTCGGAGATTAATTTGGTGTGGCTTTTCGGAACATGTGGGTAGACAGTACATGCAAGTTAGCGATCCTGGGGTTATGTATGGCTAGAAAATGTCTCCCATTGTTGCTTCACATGAAGGACATGGGAATGCCGGATAACAACCTTAAGAAACAATAGCATGACATATGTGTCCAGCCTTTATCATTGTATAGTATACATTGTACTTGATACTTCCAATCTGAATCACTCGCCAAGTCAGCCCAAAATGCGGGGTAGAGAGAGGGAGAGAGCTTCCTCTAGGAACTCTATTGTCCTGCAGGTTCACTTGGAAAGCCTTAGTGTTTACACAGTCTCGCCACGTAAACGAGAGCTCTCTACTGATCGGACAGTTGGCCCCAGATCCTTGTCCGGACATCTTCTCCGCGGTAAATGAAAGGTCTAAATAAATAGGACATTTATCCAGCTCCTTGGGTCGATGTCTACAGCATTGTATAGTACACATAAGTTACAAAGCCACACATGTATAGGTAACATATTCTCTATTCAACCAAACCTGCACACCAGTTTTCTCATGCATCCGCGTCAAGCTCGGCAGCTACATCCACAACACATCCACTTATTCCATGCAATGGCTTTTTCCCTATCTACATGCACATACATGAATATGCAAGGTATCAGTATCAGTATCAGTATCAGTATCAGTAGTTCCGTTTAACCGAGCTAGGTCATATACCGAGGCGATCGACAAGGATAGCTCTGCGGAGAGAGTACCGTTTCATCTAGCGTGCAATCTAGTGAGCAGTCCCCGATTAGAGCTGCATTTTATCTCTCTCTACCTCTCGCCTAAGGAGTGGATCAGCGGACTGCAATCTCACACCTCTACTTGACGGGATTCACTTCCAAGGTTTGTCCATCACGCGTCTGCGAGATTCTGGACCCCGATTTCGAAAGGCTAGAAAGGGGGCCGAAGATGGCCGATGGGCTGTGCAAGCTAGATTGGACAATAGCTGGCCTTGAAATGAGTTTATTACGGAATACTCGAATTTTTATTTATCTATTTATTTTCACTACTTTTCTTTTTTTCCTTCTTCCGGGATATGTCCGATGAGCTAAATGGCTGATGTGGGCGGGCATCCATCGTTTGAGTAGAGGGTTTTGTGTGGTCCTCGAAACAAATGCACATGCTTTTCACTTTCACCTCGTACAGAGGGTCCATCATCGAGTCGAGTTTTGGATCGTCCGGGGAGGTCTATTGGATCTTGAAACAGCGATCGCCACTCCCAGCTGTGGCAATGAGGGTCGAATAGGCAGGCCACTCGGGAAAGTTGTCGAAGTAGACAGCGTTGTCGATCACGAAAAAGGCAACGGAGCCTTAGGCCAGTCCTATTGCGTAGATTATCCACCTCCCTCTTTCTGCATTCCTCGTGGCGTATACTCGACATCGACGGGCTAATAAGGTTGTGGGATCAGACGATCGCTGTTTAAGATTATTCTAGTGGATCGCCACATTCAGGAGAGACCAAAGGGCGCTACTTATTTATGAATATTTGCTACTGTGGGATATACCTGATTTGCTTGTGCTATTCAGCCCATGACGATAAACCGTTTCTATAGTAGCGTACCTCGGGTTCTCACCGCATGGTTGCAGATCAAAGCCGGTATCTCCGTATAGCCAACTAGTTCGCCCGGGCTAACCGAGGCTATCCGAACCCTCGTGAATGAGATGTTCCATGATTCCGATTATCAAGCATAGGATTTGCCACAGTGTGTACCTCTGTACACTGTAGTATGAGAAAACTAGAAAAGGCAAAGAAAAGTACCGTGCATTTTGCTTCTGCCTGACCTTCCAAACAGACTTTAAATGTGGCGGCAGGATGGACTTGGACGTAACGCAACCTAGTGATGCCACCTACGTCTTTGGTAAGAAAAAGCAAATCTGATTGCTGGACGTTATACGGTGAAGAAGAAAAAGAAGAAGAAGAAGAAGAAGCGAAGCCCCTTGTTCTCACAACCCAGGGATGTGGCACTCTAGTGTAGTGTGCATGATCAACGAATGAAATGGCCGAGAGTATAATCGAGTTGAAAGTCTATCGCGCTGATGGAACAGAATAGCACCAAGGATTTGGAGAAATGTACAGTCGAGCTGTCCATGGCGATGTGTGCACCCTGTAGATCTGTAATGTACAACATCTCATCTCCGCGGCATTTGTATAGACTGTGGAGAGACGGGAACAGCCCCAACCTTATGGCAGATGGGGTACCCGGAGCCTTGGACGGGTTCGGGGTGGACGAGCAAGCCGTACCCGTGAAATGGGAAGCTGGGGTACCTGATCTTGTGCCGGCTTCATTACTCCGAGTCTACTCCATAGCTGCAGAGTGATGCCGCGTCATACATCCCTTGCAGTGATTCCGCTCTTTGGGGTGTTGGCTTCTTTACTTTCATGTTCTTTTTATTGATTTTTCTGCTGGTTTATGTTCCCTCGGTTCTACCTATACTTATAGTTTGAGTGGGAAACTACCAGATCATATACACATATAGAGAGATATGATATCATGTCCTAGTCAGGTATAGACTGATTCTCTCACCGAACTAGAAAAGCCCGATGTGAGTGGTCAAGTCAAAATATCCAAAGGGGCTCGTATGGTACTGTAATGTGGGGGTTTACCACTAAAAATAAATTACCCCTCTTAATTTCCTTTTTATTTTCAGGTTTTATTACTTTTACTTTACTGACTTTATTACTATTTTCCTATTTTACTTGGTACCCTGTACTTCTTATATACGGTATTATCCGCGCCGTTTTTCCCCTTCTCAGTCTCTCCAGATTGAGGCTCCCCCTCTCGTATATTCCTATATTATGCGGGCTCGACACATCCCGGCTATCCATCCTGCCTGACCAGGATTCTCTTTTCTTTCCTCCCCCCCCCCATCTCTCTCACTCTTCTCCCATCATGGCTCCTGGTAGCGGCCGCGATTTTAACTGCACATGGGGTGACTGTAACAAGGTGAGTACTGCTTATTTGTTTGACCTTCCCCTCCTAATCTTAGGCAGTCCTTCAATCGCAAGTCGGATCTCTGTCGACATTATCGCATCCATACCAATGAACGTCCTTATCAATGCACTGTAGCAGATTGCAATAAGAGTTTCATTCAGCGCAGTGCCTTGACCGTACACTCGAGGACTCACACAGGCGAAAAGCCCCACGTTTGTGACCATGAAGGCTGCCAGAAAGCATTCTCAGACGTAAGGGACTTGGCACAAGGTGGATCTGCGCATTTACTGATACTATTTGCAGTCATCGAGTCTGGCCCGCCATCGCCGAATCCACACGGGCAAGCGGCCGTATATTTGCCAAGAGCCAGCCTGCGAACGGAGGTAAGTAACCCGGAAGTGGTGAAAGACAAATCGTCT